TCAACTTCCTTTGTCGCCAGACCTTGAACTTTCCACGCCCTACCTCATCCCCCGCACTACCTGCTGCCTTTGAACCATTGGTCCTCCTGTCCATGCCTCCGAGTGCTAGGGTCATAGGCATGGGTCACCAGGCCCATTTTGAACAGTCATTCTTAACCATCCCACCACTGAGGGGGTCTTTTCCTTCTGAGTTTCTGCAGACACACACAAGTTAGATCTAGCTGGGCATAAAAATTACTCCTGCTGAGGACACAGCTCTGTGGTTACTTCTGACTAGCCAAGGGGAAACTAAATCTTTGCCATAGAAAGAATTGTCTGTCATCACTTTTATCAAATAACCAAACAGCATCAGGAGACAAAAGTGACATTAATGGCTTCCTAATGTGAAGCAATACGAATGACACAGGAAGGGCTCAAGCCTCTAGCATCTTGCAACTTAAAGAGAATTCAAGATCTAGACAACAAAATCAATGCACAACACAGCCCATTCTTCATCGCAAGTGGCTTGGCCTCTTAAAGGAAAACAGAAGGGCTGAAGAGATGGCTCAGCAGTCAAGAGAAGAGGACCTGAGTTTGGTTTGAACACACATGTCCAGAGGCTTACAATCACCTGTAATTCCAGGGAATCAGTTCCAGGGAATCTGAGATCGTCTTTTGGCCTCAATGCACACAGAGACACACAGATATGCACATAGTTTTTTGAAAGATCGTATTGTTGAGAGAAGATTAATTAGATTTTTAAAAAAAGAAATTAAAACCAACCTTACATGGGACAATATTCTGGCTTGAAAACAAACGTAAAAGGCATGGAGAAATATGTGTATTGCCAGTGACTGGCTGATAAGTGACAGTAGGGAGTAACTGTGCAGACAGGTGTGATAATGGGCCTCACAAGTCCACATGTCATGTAAACACTTAGAATTGGAATGCATTATGTTCAAATTAGTTTTGAGACTAATCAAACTTTTAGAAACTGCTGTTGCCCAAAAGCTCCAACTCTTGGCTTGGGCCCAGAAGGTTACTGAAAAGGACAAAAGTCTGGTACCTTCATTTGCATCTGTCTCCTGACCGACTACACAAGCATGTTAATCTCTCAAATGCTGTATGATATTAACCCATGTTATTCCTGTTTGAGGATGACTAAGCAGAGTGAAGTGAGACACTGTACCAGAGACAGAAGGACATCCTTTCTAAAACATCTATCCAGGTTACCCCAAAGTCCATGTTCCAGTGAAGTGGCAGTATGAAGAAGTTTAACAGAAACAGAACAAAGAAAGACATACATATATCAACATGCTGTTCAAATACATTGGTGGAAACATTACAGAACAGGGGAAGTCTCAGCTACAGGCTTCAGATGCTATCTGACAGCATTAGCCTTTGGGTAGGTGTGTATGTCTGTACTTTCTAAAGGATCTACTTCACAGTCACAAAGCCCACATAGAGGAAGGCAATACATGGCTACCAAGGGGGTTAAACATGGCCCAGATAATGTTGACTGAGGACCTGGGATGTTCCAGTCTCTCCACACTTAGAGATCTAAATAGCTAGCCATTCAGAGGGAGGCCCTCTTTCCCGGAGCTGTGTCTCAGGAAAGACTATTATTACTGTTGTTGTTAAAAGATTAATCTTATAGACCTGACCATTTATGTCATAGTGAAATCCACACACTATCTCCAGGCTCTGCTGTGTGTGACAATGCTACAGGCACGGAAGAGAGAAACTGAGAATGTTTCCTTGTTCATTAGTGGCTCTGAAATAAGTTCTTGTGCCCCAGCTGTTTGAGGAAGGGGACTGACAGCAAATTTCACTTAAGCTTTGGCAACTGAGATGCCTGACCCCTTCATAACAGCCCAGCCACCATATCAGGCAGTAGGTCTAACTGGAAGACAATTTGATTTTAAAGCAAAATTTAAGAACTAGTGAGCAAAATGTTTACTCCCAGTGTTCACAGGCTGGGGAGCTTTTGGATACGCCCAGCTTGCGTTCCCAAGGACGCTTTCCACATCCACACGGGTGGATAAGTAACCTTGAAAATGTTGAGAAAAATAGAAGTCACGAAAGCTCTTTTGCTTTGGTTTGCTTAGGAGTTAGGTCTTGCAACTTAGCTCTGACTGGCCGCAAACTCTCAGTAATCTTTGTTCTCGGTCACCTGGCTTATGCCCTGCTGCGCAAGCAGTTAAATTCCTGCTCAAAATTTCAGAAGCACCGGCACTCTTTCGCTCTCAAGCAACGTTTGACGCTCAGTGTATACTGAAGCCATACGGATCTGACTCTCCGAGTAAAGGTCACAGCTGACTGCGGGGAAACGTCCGCTGCGCCCTCTGGCCTGGATTCGGGTCCAGCTCCCCCGTGGAGCCCTCCCTACAGACCTTTGGAGCTCGAGTGGCGCAGGCCGGCCAGCTATCCCAGGATGCCCAGGCTCCCGCCAGGATTGGGTCCCTCAGTCTCCTGGGCGGGGTCAGAGCCGGGACTTCCCTCCGCGGACACTGCCCCAGCCCACGCCCCCCGTGGGCGGGGCCGGGATGCACAAGGCGGGCTGCCTGGCGGAGAGCGGAGCTAGCGCAGCGGAGAGTCATCATGGCAGCGGCGTTTCGCAGAGGCTGCGGGGTGAGCGGGTGCCGGCCGGGCGGGAGCGGGGGGACGTGGATCCGCGCTGCCCTCCGGCCGCTGGCCCCTGCAGGCGTGGTCCTGAGGACCTGCTCCGCCCTCGGCCGGGGGTCCCTGTTATCCACCCTTCCGGACTCCGGTGGGAACCCGGCGTCAGAACCCTGCTCCAGCAGAGGGGAGTACTCGCAGCAAACTTTCAATACAGCCCCACCCCAGGAAGGCATCAGGGTGTCCTTCGGCAGCTACGGGTGTGAACAGGCTGTGGTCCTGGGTGTGCGCAAGCCAGGTTTAGGGTGCCCGCGTTTTGTAATGTGCGGGCACCCTTCCAGAAAACGGAAGGGAAGAGAACGCACCCAAGGACTTTTGTGAAGTTTGTCTGTACACTGCAGCATTTCGTCTTCTAAGCTCTGTTGTGCCACTAGATTCTTGATACCCTACAGGTTATCGATATATTCAAACAAGCATTCCATTCATGCCACCTAAAACTGGATTAAAATTGCCTTAGAGCCCCAAAGCAGTAGTTTTAGGATTTACAATTATTTTATTGTCTTGATTGACTCTTTTCCCCCATTGCTTTACAATAAGGAGAAATTGAAAGGTTTTTAAGTTTATGTTTAATTGTGACAACAGAACGAAAGGTTTCTTGGTACCTCCAAGGACAGGTGAAGGAAGCCTAGCCCCATAACTAATCAGAAAATGCGTATTCCTTTCTCTGTTTTTGCTATAAAGCTAAGACTTTATTTCTAAGGAAAGTGTTTAGTTGTGTTGTTGTTGCAGATTTGAGGACTAAAGTCAGTGTTGTTTCCATATTGGAAGTCTGTTGTTTTGGCAGACAGCCAGGAAGAATAATAGGCAGTACTTTTATGATTACAGAATGTCATCTTTACTGCCTGTTTATATCGGATCTCACCTTGTAGATCAGGCTGGTCCAGAGTTTACAGCTTTCCCTCTGCCTTCCAAGAGCTGCTACTTTGGCCTGGATATCTTATTTTAATAATATCTGAATTATCCACTAGGATTAGTGAGCCCTATTATTCAGGTGTGTATTCAGAACTGTTCTGAGATGGGTGTTTGCAGAAACTAGGACTAAATGTTGCAGCCCTAGTTTCTTTTTATTTTTTGGCATTTATTTTATTAATTACAGTTTGTTCACTTTGTATCCCAGCTTTAGCCCCCTCCCTCGTCTCCTCCAATCCTTCCCTCCCCCTTCCACTGATAGGGGAGGTACCATACAATGGAAAAAAGACAGCATCTTCAACAATGGTGGTGTTCTAACTGGATGTCTACATATAGAAAAATGCACGTAGATACATACTTATCACCCTGTACAAAACTAAAGTCTTAACTGGATCAAAAACTCAATATAAAACGAGACACACTGAACCTGTTAGAAGAAAAAGTGGGGAAGAGCCTACAACTCATTGGTACAGGAGACAACTTCCTGAACAGAACAGCAACAGCACAGGCTCTAAGGCTCTAACAATCAACAAATGGGACCTCATGAAACTGAAAAGCTTCTGTAAAGCCAAGGACACTGTTGTCAGAACAATGCTAACTTCTTAACCATGTGCTGTTTCTTTATTATTTCTATTAAGCCATCTCTACCCACACACTTGCACATGCATGCGCGCACACACACACATCAGGCGAGGGTTTCCAGTGAGCAACTGATTATGGTTTGTTCTTGTCGTTCAGTTTTTGCTACTCTTGCGGAGGGCCCAGTTTGCTTCCCAGTACTGAAGTTCCCAGCTCACAACTATCTAACTCCAGCTCCAGGCAATCCCACACCTTCTGGCTTTTTTGGGCACTCTACGCATATATGTAGACACATACAAATGACAATAAAATAGGAAGTTAAATAACAGTTCCTTCATGGATAGATGTCTGTCTAGCTGCTAATTGACATTTGAATTCTAATTTATGTAGCATTGACTTTATAAACAGAGCTCTTGAATAAAAGCAGCCGTACCAATGCCTAGCTCACTTGTGATGGACACTATAGGTAATAATTTGGGTGTGGGTGTGTCTGTGTGGACCTCTAAGTACATAAAGCAGGAGTGGTGGCTAGAAGACAGCAGTGTCAGGCGTTTTCCTCCCACTGCGTGGGTTCCAGAGCTGAAGCCAGGTCCTTGTCTACACAGTGAGCAATTTATCCACGGAGCCACCTCGGTGGCCTAGCCAGTGTTCTTTATTTTGGTATGAAGTTTATCAAATTTACTTGTGTGTATTTTTTCCAGGTCCTGAGAAGCGTTTCCTACTTTGAGCGCCGAGCACAGCACAGGAAAGCATCACTGAAGCAGGAGCCGGGAGTGGGGTTTAGTTTTGGTCCGCGCTCCATCCCATCCTTTGACTTGGAAATCTGTGTCTGGAATGTTTGTCTGTTAGTGAGTAGAGCCAGTCGCCGCCCACAGGTGGCGCTTGGTTGTGGCTCTTGGTTCTTCTGTTTATAGCATTCTTTCCTACAGCGCCTGTGCGTTCAGGAGTGTTGGCTGTATCTATAGTATTCCTCCTCTTTTTGCTCTTCATCTGGATAGCCCAGATAAATGAATATCTATCTATGAATATCTGTGCCTTGTCTTCAACTTACAAGTTAAATGTAGCCAATACTTTCTTTTTCTTTGGAGGTAGACTCACTGTATAGCTCTGCGGGGCTGGAGCTCTGTGAAGAGAGGCAGGCCAGGAACTCACAGATCAGGCAACCCCTCCCTCCCTAGTCCTGAGATTAAAGGTGTGAGTAGTCAGGCCGGCCTCAACAAATGCTTCTCTAAGCACGGTTTCAATTCAGTTATGTAACAAGATTAAAAAAAAAAAAGGCTCAATTTATCCAATTTATCAGCAGCTGATAGCATTAGTTTCTCGGGCCTGCAGCCAGGGAGAGTGTGGAGCTGCAGGAAGAGGCGACATTTGTCTTCCCTTTTATAAGCTGAAGCATTCAGGTTGAAAATGTGATGTAAATCCTTGTTTTGCTGTCCTTCACACCCTAAAGGGTTTTTGTTTTGTTTTGTTTTGTTTTTGTTTCAAATGTTTACCTTTCCTCTAGCCAGGAAATCATTTTGTCTGCTCACTTCATCTCTGAAAAGTTATAAGGCTGAGCTGGCCCCTTGGCAGTCTGAAGGCTGTCCAGGGTTATTGGATTATTTCAAGTATACTTGAGTAAAAATACATCTTAGATAGATATAATGTATACACACACGTGTATAAACCCAGGGAGTCACCTCCTCCCTCTGCCTTTGTCTCCTGCTCTTTTGCTCCTTCTTTGGTATTTGTACTCACTTTTACTAGCAGTGTACTGAAACAGCAACAACAACAAAAGCGCATGCCAGTCTTAAAGGAAGACTTTACGTTTTCGAGGTGTCTGGCTGTGTGAACAGCTGGCTGGAGCACACAGAGTGCCACCCTAGTCTCCTTGTCTTCCCGATGATGAGGGACCTGATCCTCCTTTTTACCTCCCGTGGCCCTACAAATGATAACTGCAGTCATAAATATTCCCCCTTTTTTTTAATTTTTTTTTTTTTTAAGATAGGGTGTATCCCTCTCTGGCTTGGAACTCACATGGTAAACCAGGCTGGCCTTGAACTCACAGAGATCCTCCTGCCTTTGCAGTCTGGGCACTGGGTATAAAGGTGCGTGCCACCCCACCTGGCTCATTCTTATATGCTTTGGCTCTTACTCTAATTGTCTGAAATACCCAATACGACCTTCAACTGCCCCCACCCTCGTGCAGGGAATGGAATCCAGGGCCTCGCACAGGATAGGTAGGCAGGTGCTTCAGCACTGAGCTTTATTCCAGCCTTACTTTTCACACACATGCACCCGCGTTGAAACGCTAGATAGCACAGCTCTACAAAAGTGCCCTTGGCAACCTACATTTACCCCAGGGGTCTACACAACATAGTCACCCCACTAATTTTACAATAACTAGTTTTATTTTGTATAAATGAATTGTTTGAATATGGCCTGTTGGTAATACAGAAGGTTTTTTAATGTGGTTATTATTTTTGGAGAAATTTCTCATTGATTTTACCAGTTTATGTGTGAGAACTTATATTCTTAAATCTGTTGGGGTTGAAAAGCAAAGTGAAACTTAAATTATGCTGCTGATGTTCTTCTGTAACTCTCTGAGACAAGTTTTATTACTGCGTGCTGACTGGGTGTGTCCCATTTCTTTAGACGCGCCCTGAGGTCAGAAGCGATCAGAAGCGTATCTCACGATGAATACAAACCTCCACATCCCAGCCTCGAGGGCTTGTTTCTTCAACCTGATTTCCTCTTTTTGATGTTCTCAAAATAATTTTCCCTTAGAGTTGACTGAACAGCAGAAGGAATTTCAAATAACTGCTCGAAAGTTTGCCAGAGAGGAAATAATCCCAGTGGCTGCCGAATACGACAGAACTGGTGAAGTAGGTATCACCGCGCAGGGAGAACCCGGGCACCGCGAGATCGTGTGACCAGCGGGGTTGCCGGTGCAGTATAACCGTGTTCCTTCTCCCTTCAGTACCCGTTCCCTCTAATTAAGAGAGCCTGGGAGCTTGGCTTGATCAACACACACATTCCGGAGAGTTGTGGTAAGCCCCCTTTACATGGTTAGTCCTAAAATTAAAGACCCCTCATTCTCTGAAATGCTGTCGCCGGTCAGTGCCCTCTGCCTCTGTTTCCCTCTTTGGAGAGCACAGTGCTTGCCTGCTTGGGAGCCTGGTCCTCGGTTCAGAGCACAGGCATCTTCCCCGCATCTGGCTGGTTTTGAGTGTGCTGAGTGTTTGTTCTTCACATTGTAACACTCGGCGCCGTAGGTGGTCTCGGACTGGGAACTTTCGATGCGTGTTTAATTACCGAAGAGCTGGCGTATGGGTGTACAGGGGTGCAAACTGCCATTGAAGCGAATTCTCTGGGGGTAAGTTACTAAGAAAATAATTAACCTGGGGCTGGTGAGGCCACTCAGTGGCTCAAGGCTCCGCCCCGGGAACCGTGTGATGGGAGGGGACAGCGGACTCCCCCCAGTTGTCATCTGGCCTCCATAATGAAGCTTGTGCACACATATATGTACACACGTGCACACATGTACAAAGTAAGTAAAATTACAGTTTAAGAAGATGTTAACGAGACACTAACAGTGAAGTTGGGTTCATCGCCATAAAAAAACGATAAGGAAGAATTGCTACCTAGCCTGGAGTTGTGATTGCACAGCTTTATCTCTGTGGCTTTGTTGTCACAAATGAGTTCCGGGTCCTTGGGAGGAAGCTGTACACTTTGGCTAAGTCCATGGAAATTCTCGGGCAAGGGCGAGGCCTGGGGCAGCCCAGATGCCATCCTGTGGGCCTGCTGCTCAGTTGCCATGCTGAAATGTACCAAGCATTGCAGGAGGTGTGCCATACATACGAAGGCACATAAGTTAATCTGTGAGCATCTTATGTCACCAGTCTTTGGATACAGCAAGCCACACCTGTAACTTTAGGAGGAGTGTATGATAGTAACTGTGTCTTCTTGCAAATGCAAGGCTTTGAATTTACTCCTTTCGGGGAGGCAGGTAGTTCTTTTTTACTTGTTGAACTGTGTTTCTGTAACTAATAAAATATCTTGCTCTTTTCATGTTGATTCTCCTTGGTAGCAAATGCCTGTGATTATTGCTGGAAATGATGAACAAAAGAAGAAGTATTTGGGGAGGATGACGGAGCAGCCAATGATGTGTGTGAGTATGCTCCACCGGGCTTCGCTCCCCTTTCCCAGTGAGTGGACCAGGAGCTGCTGGCTCTGATCTTCAGGGAAGACAGAAGTCAGCAGGCACTTAGGGCTGTCAAGAAAGTGTCTCTGCAATCCCCATAAGGGAGAATCCACTTGTTTGTGGATTCCAGAATGGTGTCGTGCTTGTCCTGCTGCTTGCTTTCAGAATGTGGTGGTGGCTGCAGCTCCAGAAGCGAGCAGTTGTGTGGGCTCCTTGTTTGCTTGCAGCTCAGGCTGTCCTTCAACTCTCCCAGAGAGAAACTGCTTCATTTATCATTCACAATGCCCTTGTCTGGGCAGGGTGGTGCACACCTTTGATCCCAGCACGTGGGAGACCGGAAGAACTCTGCCCCATCTCTGTGCTGTCACTCTGACTCCCCCACTCTCTCTTTCTTCAGTGCATCCCACTATCCTTGAAATCACTGTGTAGCCAAGATGACCTTGAACTCCTGTTAGTGCTGGGATCACAGATGGGTACTACTGCCCATATCCAGTTATGTTGTGCTGGGACTGAACCAGGGTCTCATGTGTGCTAGGCTATGTCCCAGCCCTATCCTGTTTCTTATCCTCATCTCATGCAGTTATTTCTAAAGAGAATACTTAGTTTCTCACTTTTTTTCTTTTTCTACAGAATATTCTTTCTGTTTGAGATTTGACTTAAGCATCAGCTCAGGGACGCGGTTTCTCAAATCCTGGGGTTTAATGCCTACACTTAGCACAGTTACCCTGTCACCCTGTGAAAATCTCAAGTGCAGGCTGCCTTTCAGCTCTGGTTTTCCTATCTTGTTTTAAAGCCTACTACACAGGAGATACTCAGCAAATATGCAAATAAATCAGCATATATTAAGTTGAATTTAATTATTTTGTTTAACTATTTTCTATAGTTCATTGGTATCCCATGAAGTTAAAATGTTTTAAAATATTAAATGTTTTAACATTTGAGCAATTTTTTGATTTTCTAAGAACATTGTGATTTTAGGCATTCATTTATAATACTGCCTTCAAAGACAAAATGCAGGGGCCAGGGTATAGCTCACCGGTAGAACATTTGCTTAGCACACTTGAGAACTGGAGTTCTATCCTAGAACCACAAAACAAATGAAATAATACTATTGCCAGATAGTCACAGTTTAATAAGTAACATTGAATTGTTTTTCTTTTGTCTGTGTATCCAAGGCCTACTGTGTTACGGAGCCCTCAGCAGGCTCTGATGTGGCTGGCATTAAGACCAGAGCAGAGAAGAAGGGAGATGAGTACGTCATCAACGGCCAGAAGATGTGGATAACCAACGGCGGGAAGGCTAACTGGTATGCTGCTTCCCGACGGCGCGTCTCCCAGGCTCCCTTTCTTGTTTTCTGTTTAAGCCTTCTCAGGTAAGGCAAGCTGTAGTGTTGAGACTGGAAGGTCCATCCGAGGTTATGAATGTCTCAGTGACTCAGGCTCTATTTTAAGACCTAGAGCTATTTCTTCCAGATTAACTTAAGTCTAACGTGTAAAGTGCAGTAAAAATAGCTAGTCTTCCGGACTGTGTCAGGCAGGCCCCGCTGCCCATCCTGCACTAGCCCTTCCTCACTCGAAGGGAAGCAGAAAGTGCAGTAGGGTGTTGTTCTGATTCTGGGTGGATTTGCAGCTCTGGGATTGAACCTGCAGCTCTGCATGCCAGGCAAGCCCTGTGCCGTAGTACCCATCCCCAGCAGAGGCTCGGGGTTCTGAAAACCCGGGCCACAGGGCTGGGGGTTAGCTCTGCGGTCACGTGCTTTTCTAGCATGCAAAGCCCTGGATTTGATCCCAGCATCATACAGAAATAAAAAAGCAAGCCATTGATGGTAGTGCACACCTGTAATTCTAGCACTTGGAGCAAAGGTAGAAGGAGCAGGAAGTTGAAGGTTATCTTCAGTTACATAGCAAGTTCAAGCCAGCCTGGGCCACATGAGACCGTCTCAAAAAAAAAAAAAAAAAAAAAAAAGACAAAAACATCAGTTTATATGCAAAAGAGGGCAGTGTTTGATGTTGGTAAAATCTAAAACTTGCAGATGTGTAGGTCTAAACATAACGATATAATGTTCCATTAAACATCAAAAGCCATTTACATAAATACAGAATTTTGAGAAAACTACTTGATCATTTGTTAAAGAGGAACGCTTAATAAGCCGCTATAAATTTTGTGGGAAGGCAGAAGTAGGGCGGAGATGCATGCATGGACGGTGATTTCAGGCTGAGGAAACAGAAGCACAACCCCAGCCAGGAGTGAACACAGTTGAGACCAAGGACAGTCCAGAAGCTGCTAAGTGATCTGTTAGGGGAAGCCTCTGGAACATGCGTAGACACATTTTGTCTGGGTCAATTTGAAATAAGCTTAGAATGTAATTATTGAAATAGTTTGTGTAAAGAGGAGCAGAGCTGGGGCAGTGGCACGTGCCTTGGAGCATCAGCACTTGGGAGACAGGTAGGGATATCAGAAGTTCAAGGCCACACTGAGAGATTGACAGGTCGGTAGGCAGATAGACAGACAGACAGATAAACAGGTGGATAGACAGAGCGATGGACAGATATATGATAGACAGACGGTTAGATAAACAGGTGGGTAGATAGGCTGAAGGAAAGATAGGGGATGGATAGGTGATAGGTTCCATTTGACTAAGATCAAATGGAGTACACTTGAATGGTTACTTCAGAAAGATGGTTTAGAATTAATTTAGAATGAAAGTTAGAAAAATGTAAGCCCTGACTAATTATAAGGACAGTCATTCCAGTAATAGGACCCACATGCATTGTCTTAGAAAATAGTGTTTTTACCTACTGTTATAAGTACATGACACAGACCTACGAGGGTCAGGGGCTGACTTAGTTGCCTCCATTCCTGTGAGGAGACCATTACCAAGACAACTCTCAGGAAAAAGCATTTCACTGGAGGCTTGCTCACAGCTTTAGAGGCTAGTCCACAGCCATCATGGCAGAAAGCAGACAGGCACAGTGCCGGAGCTTAGCTGAGAGCTTTACAACCTGATCTCAGGCAGCAGGAAGACAGAGAGAGGCTGGACCTGGCTTGGGCTTCTGAACCCTCAAAGCCCATTCCCAATGACACGCTTTCTCCAGCAAGCCAGCCCACCAATAAGGAAGACCTTTTAATACTTCTCACTCAAACAGTTCCACTCCCTGCTGGCTAAACATTCAGATATGTACGCCGATGGGACCGTTCTCACTAAAACTACCGTAGGAGATTACGGTACTAATTTTCCTGTCTGAAAAGAAAGATTGTCTTTTGTTTGTTTTTGTTTTGTTTTGTTTTGTTTTGTTTGATAGTTTCACTCTGTAGCTCAGGTTAGTCTGAAAATCACTGTGGAGCATAGGTTGGCCTCACACTCATGGTGATCTTGCCTTACCCTCCCAAATGCTAGCATCATAGGTGTGACCAGCACAGCTGTGACCCAGCACAGCTGCCTCTGAAGAAGTTCTCCATCTGTATGTTTCTGTGACGTGCAGTGGGAAAGGCATCCCACCTTGGGGGAAGAAGTTCTCCATCTGTATGTTTCTGTGACGTGCAGTGTGGAAAGGCATCCCACCTTGGGGGACTGCACAGCTCACCAAATGGTAGCTCATGGTGCAGAGACACAAAGGCTGGGGATGGGATTAACAGAATTACTTAGTATCCTCACATCAGCAAGTAATAAGCAAGTAAAAAAGCCATGACAATTGAACAAGACAAATATAACAATGCAACTAAATAATAATAGTTTTAAGAACTGACTATAATTCTTCCCAAAAAAGACAAGTTCAGTGATTCATGAAATTAGAAAATAAATTTCTGTCTTTCTCTATCACTAAATAAAACCATAGTCGATGATAAACTAATAAATTACTGGGGTTTTTAGCATAAAAATAAATTCATTGCATAAGAAAGAATAAAATACTCAGTCTCTCTCTCTTTTTCAGTACTAGCACGGACACAAGGCTCACTGTGGATTCTACCTCTAAGCCATTTGGCTTTTTTGTCCTTTTTTATTTAGTTTTATTTATATATTTATTTATTACAATTTATTTACTTTGTATCCTGGCTGTGACCCCCTCCCTCATCTCCTCCCAGTCCCACCCACCCTCCTCCCCCTATGCCCCTTCCCTAGTCCACTGTTAGGAGAGGACCTCCTCCCCTTTTATCTGACCCTAGCCTATATGGTCTCATCAGGATTGGCTGCATTGTCTTCCTCTGTTGCCTGGCAAGGCTGCAACCCCCAGGAGAGGTGATCAAAGACCCAGCCACTGAGTCTATGTCAGAGACAGCTTCTGTATCCATTACTAGGGAACCCACTTGGAGACTGAGCAGCCTATGGGCTTCCTTTGAACAGGGAGTCTAGGTCCTCTCCATGCATGGTCCTTAGTTGGAGTATCAGTCTCTGCAGGGCCCCCTGGACCCAGGTATTTTGGTTCTGTTGTTCTCCTTGTGGAGTTCCTGTCCCCTCCAGGCCTTTCTATCTCCTTCTTCCATCAGGATTCCAGCACTCTGCCCAAAGTTTGGCTATGAGTCTCAGTATCTCCTTCGATACCCTGGTGGGTAGAGTCTTGAAGAGGTCCTCTGTGGAAGGGTCCTGTCCTGTTCCTTGTCTTCTCCTACTTCCAATGTCTATCCTGTTTGCCCTTCTAAAGGAGGATTAAGCATCTTCCCTAGGGTCCTACTTGTTGTTTACTTTCTTTAGGGCTATGGATTTTAGTACATTTATCCTTTTATAAGGGCTCCCAAAAACTCAGTCTGTATCAGGATATAAAGAAAAGTAGTTTGGATATGGTGGTTCAGAAAAGGAACTTGCTTTTTTTTTCTCCCTCATACTTCATTTCTTCTAAATCTTTCTGGGAAAAGTCTTTCTGCGGGAGAGCCAGTAAATATTGCTAATAATTGAGGCAGAGCTTGAACACTGCTGTGCTGCCAGCCCTCACAGCAGCAGGAGTGACGTCTGTGCTCGGCTTGCTGTTTGCTTGTCCTGTGGGACCTAAGACTGGCCCAGAGAGGAACATTCCAGCTCCAACACACAGTTTACTGCTACATTGTCTCTGCAGAAGGAATTTTTACGAATAACTCTCCCAGACCCCAAAGTTAAGAACCACGTTAGTTGGGGAATAGATGTTTGAGTGCTCTGGTAAAACTGGTACCTGTGCAAGTTTAGAAGACCATCTAACTCTTCATCCTCTCTTCTGTCAAGTGGGGATAGTGACACCGGGGTTTGGGGGTGGGGGAGTACTGAGAGAGCAGTTACCGTGTGGTGTGCCTTATTATAATTGCCTTCATTGTGGGTTTGTGTGCATTAGGTATTTTCTTTTGGCACGCTCAAACCCAGATCCTAAAGCACCTGCTAGTAAAGCCTTCACTGGGTTCATTGTGGAAGGTGACACCCCAGGGATACACATTGGAAAGAAGGTAAGCAGTCCGTTTCTTAACGGTTACCTCCATAAGTACAATTTCAGCTGTGTCAAAATTGTTTCCGTTAATGAGAATGTTTTTAAGTTGGAATATGAATCCAGTTGCATCTTGATGATATCGGGACATAATTTCTATGTCACTGAGAAATCTTTGAAGTCATTTAGAAAGATGAGCTCTCTAGAGGCAGACCACGTTCATGTCGGCTGTAGGTGTGCATGGAAGCCAGGGTGCCATGACACTGCCCCATGGTGGAGGGTAGAACCCGGAGGACTCCTCCCTCCTTCCCACTGCATCGGCACAAGCTTTGGCTAGAACAGGTAGAGCCATGGGATATAGGTGGATTACTCACTATCCCACAGCCTTAACAGAAGCGTCTGTAGTTTGAAAGCACGTGAGGGTGTCTGTCAATGGCATGGGATGTGGGAGGGAGAGAGTGTTAAATAACCCACTGAGCATCCAGTCTCATGGGAGCAGAGGGTAAAAGATGTCCCAACAAGTGAAAGAAATGGCCTAAGTCGTCCTGCTGAGAGCTCACAGACGCGGCTTAAGATTGAAACGGGGAACGAAGTGCTTTCGCAAAATGAAGTTTTCAGAAAAAAATATCAGTGATGAACAATGTCTGCGTCTATGGCAAAGAGGAAATTGTAGAAATCAAGCCAGAGTCCCAAAGGTTACTGGAACAAATTGTCTTCCTCCTCCATATGGAAAGGTGAACTACCTGGTCAGATGCTGGAGCTGGTCTCCTCAGGCCGAACTGGAAAGACAAACTTTAGTTGCTAGTTAATATGAAACAGATTTCTAAGGAAACGTCGATGTTTACAGAACCCTCTGTTGTGACTAGATCTCTTTAGAAATGTGTTGCTTTGGTTTGTAAAATGTGTATTCGCTTCTGCCAGGCATGGTAGTGCCCACTCTTTGTCCCAGTACTCCAGAGGCTGATGCAGGAGGATCACAAATTCTAGGCCAGCCTGGACTAGGTACTGAGAGTGTCTCAGGAAGGGAGGCTGGGGCAGGACTTCGTTAGGTCACAGCAGTGTAAAGGCTGGACGCCAGGTGCTGTTTACTTCAGTCTGATGGTCACCGACTACAGAGACCGAGATCTAAATAAATGATTTACCGAGTCCCAAAGGCAGGAGGCAGCCTGAGATCAATGCTGGGGTGTGTTACTGACAGACTCTTGTAGGACTGTGGCCTGGGCAACTTCTGGTGCCACAGCATGCTTTATTTTAAGGAGAAAATGTTGAAGGCAGACTTCACCTTACAAATAGAGTACTGACTCCCACGTATATACAGAGTAGAGTGCTGTGGGCAGTCACTCTTCTCCCAGAGACTGGTGTTCGTGTGTTTGTGTGGCAGATCGTGTGCTCCCCCTTAAGAATGGTTCCTGGCAGCCTCAGGCCCCACCTGTGCCCGTCTTCCCTAAGTGGAAGGAACCTCGGAGCTTGTGCTTCACCAGTGGCAAACTGGTGACAACTAATGTTGTCTTGCTGTTTCGAATCTCATTTGCACTTAGGAAAGCCTATCTGAATCAATATTTATTACTGAGTGCACACTGTATGCTGGGTAATGATAAAAATTTCTACCCCTGCGGACTTACTTTCCAGTGGGAGGGGGTCGCAGATATTTTATTAGCCACTTAGCCTCCTAAAGTGTTCTTTTAAACAAATGGCTATTTGTAAATCTGTGAGATTTGGTTTGTCAAAAGGTTTTGTGTCTTCGAAACTATATGCTTTGAGATGAGTCTAAGAAGCATTTTGGGTTTTTTGGTTTGTTTGTTTTAGTTATTTGGTTTTGTACTTTTAGCCTATTTGAGATAGGGTCTCGTTGTGTAGTTCTGGCTGTCCTGGACTCACTGTAGACCAGGCTGGCTGGAACTCACAGAGATCCTGCTTACCTCTGCCTCAAGAGCACTGGGATTAATTAATGAGCCGGGTATATATATATATATATGCATTGCATGTAAAAGACCCGGCACTATGCACAGTTTCCAGGGTCCACTAAAAATCTTAGAACACACCCCTCAGAGGGTGCCTACACAAAACAGGGCAGGGTTGGAGTGTGTAAGGGCGCTTCTCATCAAATGTGATGCCTTGGCTTCTGTTCCCAAACCCACATGGTAGGAGGAGAGAAGCAGCTCCCATAAGACATCCCTTGATGTCCACACGTGTTCTGTGCCAGGATTATGCCCCCCCCATACCATAAAAAGTAAATACATGTCCCCGCAAAAGTGGGAAAGCAAAATCCATAATTTTCTCAGTACATCATTTTGCTGAAGATTACATTCTCTAAGCTTGTTCACAAAATGACGTGACATTCCACTAAGCAAAGGCAGCCTTCAGACCTCGACAAAGTACAGTCGTCATACAGAGCTTTAGGTTAGTGCTGTTCCAGTGTGTGAGATACTCTTTTGATCAGGGGCTGGCACATACTTCTAGAAAGATCCTGTTTAGAAACCTACCAGGCTTTGCAGGCCTGCGATCTCCCACACAGCTCAGCTCTGCCACTCTAGTCGAAGGGCGGCTGCAGAAGATGGGCAGAGACAGGAGTATTTGGAGTCTGTGGAAGCTCAATTCACCGAGCAGGTACTACAGGCTCAGCTTTGCGGCCCTGCTTTAGGTAACTGCAAAAAGGCACAAAGGAATCTCTGCTTGAGTCCCCTCAAGTCCTCCCAGGAGCCTGCCCTGACTTAGGTCTCCAGTTTGTTACAGAGACGCCTCCACCCTCAATCTTTCTTTTCTCTGCAGGCCTTCTGTCCTCTCACCCTTGCACTCCTCAGCCTTGTTCTCCACCCTCTTAACTCTTTGTGCCCCTTCTCCTATCTTGTTCCCTTTCTTCAGCTACTGTCTCTGTCTATTCTGGATAAAGATAGAGCAGAGATTGAGGGAATGCCCGCCCAATGCCTGGCCCAGCCAAAGGCCCACTGTATCGGAGAGTGCCAACCCCTGAAACTATGAATGATACTCTGCTAAGCTTACAGACAGAAGCCTTACAGAGTTGTCCTTTGAGAGAATCTACCCAGCAGTGCCTCAAAGGAGATGCTGAGACTCACAGCCAAACATTGGGTGATGCATAGGGAGGCTTGTGGAAAAGTGGGAGGAAAAAGAAAAGGATGTGGAGGTGACAGGAGCTCTACAAGAAAACCAACAGAGCCAACTAACCAGGGCCCAGAAGGGTTTGCTGAGACTGAAGCATCAACCAAGGATCGTGCAGGAACTGGGCCTAGGCCCCCTACAAAGATATAGCAGATGGAAAGCTTAGGCCTCATGTGGGTCCTCTAGTAGGGGAAGTGGGGACTGCATCGGCCAGGGTCTCACTTACCAGTTACCAGCTTTTTGATCACTTCCTCCTGGTGGGACAGCCTTGCCAGGCCACAGGGGAAAGGACAAGATCAATCCTGATGCAACCTGATGAGGTGGGGTGGATGGGAGAGGGGGAGGATAGGAGGGTGGAACTGGGAGGGGTAGAGGATAGGGCTACAGGAAGGATATAAAGTGAATTTTTTACAAAAAATTTTTAAAGACCCAAAGGAATGATCAACACTAACAGTTTCTTATGTGATCTTCCTAGGAATTAAACATGGGCCAGCGATGCTCCGACACAAGAGGAATCACCTTTGAAGATGTCAGAGTACCTAAGGAAAATGTGTTAATCGGTGAAGGAGCTGGTTTCAAGATTGCCATGGGGGCTTTTGATAGAACCAGACCTACAGTAAGCTGATCATGTTGGTAGGAGCTTTGGTTTGTAGTTTTCAGCGAGTAGATTCATTCTGACATTGTATGTATGGTGTTGCTGCTTTTTTAGTAACAGTGGAGAGGTTATCACTTGTCCTATGTATAGTTCAACTTCTTTTGCTGCTCAGAGTGGAAACTTTTTTAGCAGATGCTAAAAGGTTCTCTGCTAGATTTCTAGGAAGTTCACCCCTACCTTGACTGTTCCTGTTGATTGTGGGTCGCTGTGTATTCTGCTGCACACTTAGCATGTGTGCGTGGAAGGCTCCCTGGTTAAACAGAAAGAACTTGTCTAGGCTGTGAGCCCGTTTATTTGTTCACTTACTTATTGCATGGGGCAAACCCAGGGTCTGCTGAAGACCAAGCATGCGCTCTATACTGAGCTGCGCTCCCAGCCAGGTTCTCTCTCCCACTTGCGTGACACTACTGCCTGTTTGTGTTGTCCTTCACCACACAGAGAGTCAAGCCGTGTGGCTGATGACAATGTTTGCTTCACACAATATTAATATTGTAGGTAGCAGCTGGCGCTGTTGGGCTGGCCCAGAGAGCTCTGGATGAGGCTACAAAGTATGCCCTGGAGAGGAAAACATTCGGAAAGCTGCTCGTAGAGGTAATAGTTTGTTCTCTCGATTTCTCTCTGTGAGAGTGTGTGTGTGTGTGTGTGTGTGTGTGTGTGTGTGTGTGTGTGTGTGTGTGTGTTCACCAGAGAGTGTGCCCTGCATCGAGACCAGATTATTATCCTGGGTGTCCTTCTGCTGTCACTGCCCTGGGGCTCACAGGTTTGGTTAGGTGAGCTCTGGGATCTTCCTGTGTCTGCGGCTGGTGCCAGGATTCCTGGCTGGCGCCTCTGAACCCAGGTTTTTCATAACAGGTTCTGGGGAGCTGAACTCCGGTCCTCATGCTTCTATAGTAAGCATGTTGCTGACAGCTACCGACCCTGCTCGAGGAGGAAATCTTATCAGTGTGCTTGCTTGGTTGAAATTTGAAGACACTCATTTCATCTAAATATTTAGAAATTATCTTCAAAGAATAAAATCTTCTTCTCCTTTTTGTTGGGAAGAAGATTCTATGGTCTCGTCACTCTTGCCTGTGAGGGTAGATTTCTTTTGGCGGCAGCTCACAGTTGTTCACCCTATAAATTATATTAGGAAAAGCTTTTATCTAAGAAGTGCCTTCTGTATAACTGAACTATGTGATATATTTTAATATATGTTCTCAGTAAACATGGCTTTGTTAGGCCAGGCAGGCCTGTGTATAGACCAGGCTGCCCTCAAACTCACTTGAGATCCACCTGTCTCTGCTTCCCGGGTGCTGGGCTAAGGCGTGTACCATGTACCTGGCTCCATGATTATTTCCCTTAGTAGTGACTGACCTTCCCTTCACTTCTTTCTGCCTCAGCTCTCTCTTCAGTGAAGTTGGAGTGGTGAAAGATGATGTTGTCTGATTTCATCCGGTCCTGTGGCTCTGAGCATTTCTTTGTGTTCTCTCTCTAGCTTTGGCTTCCGCACTGGGCACCATGCTAGGATTTAAAGATGGCTCCTTAACTTTTGTTGGTGATTCTCAAACCTAAGCTCACTTCCAGTCCCTCTTCTCTTTCCTTCTTCATTAACATTTTATTCTCAAAATTCAGGAGGCAGGTGGGATTCATTTTACCTTTTGTTTGTTTGTTTGTTTGTTTGTTTTTTGAAACAGGGTTTCTCCATGTAGCCTTGGCTGTCCTGGACTCACTTTGTAGACCAGGCCGTCTCAAACTCACAGAGATCCTCCTGCCTTAGCCTCCTAGGATGCTGGGATTACAGGTGTGCGCCACCATGCCCAGCTGCAGGTGGGATTCTTAAGCCTGCATAGTGGTCTTCTATCAACATTTTGCTGTCCTCTCTACCTTATTCTTTCCCCAAATCTGCTCTTTCATCTCTTTTACCTCCTCATGGATTTCAATCAAACACCTCCCTCCATTTGTTCTACGCTGTGACACCTCCAACGTACAGCCTCCCCAGCGTTACATTGTACATGGGCTGTTGCCCTTACTGTCTCATCAGAAGCTGTTCCGTGTGACATGCAGTTTCTGTTTTTAGCTTTAGTCTTATTTAACAAGTGGTCACTGAATATCTACTATATTAACACTTTGGGTGCTTTCTTCATTGCAGGCATGGAAAAAGTGTGGTGCATGTACCTACCAGCTCATTTCACTGCCCCCCAGTACAGTGGGGTAGATACTGTCATTTCCCTTTATCACATGTGAGAACATTAGGCTCAACTAATAAATGACAGAACCAAGAGTGTAATCCCGGCACTTGGGCAGAGGCAGGCAAATCTCCTAAGTTTGAGGCCAGCCTGGTCTATAAAATGATTCCACAATATTCAGGGCTACACAGGAAAGCCCTGTCTCAAAAGACCCAAAAGAGAAAAAAGAAAAAAAATAGATACAGAAACAGATAACAGGGTATTGGTGGGAAACTTGGCCAATTTGCTCAGGGTCTGTTAGTTTTGCAGATTCATGCTGATTGTCCTGATCACAAATTGGTGGCCATATATTGTGTTAACGTTAGGGAAAGCTAGCTGCAACTTTTCTCCAAGTTCATAAGTAGTGCAAAATAAAATGTAAAAAAAGTTTCAGAAAACAATTACAAATACTGCCAATAGATACCCTTTAACTGTTTTTCCCCCTTAATTCTAGCACCAAGGAGTTTCATTTCTGCTCGCAGAAATGGCGATGAAAGTTGAACTCGCTAGACTCAGTTACCAGAGGGCAGCTTGGGAGGTTGACGCCGGTCGCCGGAACACATACTATGCATCTATTGCGAAGGCCTTTGCCGGAGACATCGCCAACCAGTTAGCTACGGATGCTGTGCAGATTTTCGGAGGCTACGGATTCAACACAGAATACCCTGTGGAAAAGCTGATGAGGGATGCCAAGATCTATCAGGTGAGCTCTACAATGTTGTTTCTGAGGCAACAGATATTCACAAATGACAACAGTAGACTTCAAGCCATTGGTAATAGTGACATTTGGACCTGCGAAATGGCTCAGGGGGGAAAGGCACTTGCCACCAGCCTGACAACCTGGGTTGGATTCCTAGAATCCACATGGTTCAAGAAGAGAACTGACTCCTAAAAGTTGTTCTGTGAGCTTCACATGAATGCTTAGCATGTATTCACCTAAACAATACATGTAAAAGTACTTAAATAAGGGCTAGAGAGAAGGCTCAGCGGTTTAGAGCACTGGCTGCTCTTCCAGAGTTCCTGAGTCAATTCCCAGCAGCCACATAGTGGTTCCAAACCATCTATAGTGAGATCCGGTGCCCTCTGCTGGCCTGCAGGCAGAACTATGTATATATAATGAATAAATAAATCTTTTTTAAAAACAAAATCATTCTCAAAACAATATTTAAGTGTGATAAATGATAGTTATAGATTGGTGTGAGTCACATTTTATAACTAATCAACACATAAAAAGAATGTTGTTTCTTATTAATTGTAGCTGCTAAGAGGGAAAGGGCTGGACCAGTAAATGACAGTGTATCACACAGGCGTGTATCGCCAGTGTAATGCTACCTTCTTGGAGTCTTCAGATTTCAGCCAATACAATCTACATTTTTTGTCTCTGAGAAGTCTACATGCTTGTATTGTCTTGTGTGTTGGTCTGACATCTCTTGAATTAATTGAAACTGTACTTACAGTCAGAAGTTGATACTGATACTTGACTCTGAAATTAAATTGGCCATGAGAAAACCTGAGGGTGACTCTGTAAGAAAGACAGAGATGTGCACCTTCTCTTGTGGTTAGTTGTGGCCCAGAATTCCCGATACCCCACCTTGTCCTGCGCACCCTGGCAGATGATCTGACAGATTTGCTCATTGGAAGTCTGAGGAAGAGGCAAAATGCTGGAGTGAGGCATGTGGGCAACTGGTCAGTTTTTTGCTGCTGTTTTAATTCTGTTTTTTTGTTTGTTTGTTTTGATTTTAATCAGGATTATCCAATATTTTACCTTTTCTTTTCATGTCTGCCTTTTCTGGATGTCTATGACCTAATTTTCATACAACAGAAAAGCCTGTGTCATTAGCCCTAGAAAAGGAAAGCCCAAGAACAGTAACTATCAACACGGAAGACTATAGGGCTGGCCAGGCACTTTGGCAATTATGAGCACTGGCTGCTCTTGCAGAGGACCTGGGAGTATTCCCAGCAGCCACATGGGAGCTCACAACCATCTATAACAACAGTTCCAGGGGACCCGAGGCTTACAGGCACCAGACATGCATGTGGGCCACATCCATCCATGGAAGCAGAACATTGACATACGAAAATTAAAATACGTCACTCACAGTCTTGTCTTCCGAGTGGTCTGTCTCTACAGTCTAGTCCTTATTCAAGCACAGGAAAGCTGAGCACTGCGTTTGCACCCTATCCCACCTCGCCAGCCTTTCTTGAGCATTTTGCCTCTCCCAGAGGCTGAGGCTGTCTCTGTAAACCACTGGCTTGCCTCTACCACCCAAGAGTGAATGAACAAGCGAGGCTGAAAGGTTACAGCAGGAATGAGAGTGGGATACCAAGAATGAAAGCTGGCAGCCTCCAGTGTCTTGATTTCTTTAACAGTTCGTTAGGCAGCAGGGGAAAATCTTGTTTAATATGAAGAACAGAGAATGACTAAAGCAGATACGGCTAGAAACAGCTCAGAAAAGTTAGATAATAAATACTCTGGTAACACTAAACTTTAGATTTCCCAAACATTTTAAAATGAATACCTTTCTTTGATGTCTTAAGTCTGCCTCCTGACTTTGTAAAATAAAGTTTTATGACTTAATCTGTCCTCATAAAAGAACATTTTGCTTGTCAGCAGTGGTGCACACCTTTAATACCAGCACTGGGAAGTCGGAGCAGGCTTAGCTCTGTGAGTGTGAGGCCAACATGGTCAATAGAGTGCATTCCAAGACAGCCTGGGCTTCACAAAGAGAAATGCTGTCTAGAAAAAGAAAGAAATAAACAGATGCATGAATAAATAAATATATTACTTAAGCCGGGCAGTGGTGGCACACACCTTTAATCCCAGCGCTTGGGAGGCAGAGGCAGGCCTCTGAGTTTAAAAAAAAAAAAAAAAGTGAGTGAGTCCAGGACAGTCAGTGCTACACAGAGAAACCCTACCTCAAGAAATAGATAAATAACTTAAATAACATTTAAGTTTGGTGCAACCATAGGGCTGAAACATCAAATTAGTCCAGGTGTTTAAACTATTTTGTGTTTTTCTTGCAGATTTATGAAGGTACTGCACAAATTCAGAGGCTGATCATAGCCCGTGAGCACGTTGAAAAGTATAAAAAGTAAAGGAAAATTGCCACTGAAAGATGCTTCGTTCTCAGTAACTAAAGCTCAAGCACTGTTTATGCTTCAGAGAAAAACTAAGGCTTTTCTGTCTCCCCGAGGAAATCAGAAGAAAGATGAGTATTATGGGTCTGTACAATTTATTCCACTGGTGGAGTACTCCTCTCTTGAAGTTGGAGACTCTCTCCCGATGGCTTGGGCCTGTTGAGCGGCGAGTTGTCCCCAGTGCCGCTACCCCTCAGTTGTGTTCATTGGCTGTGTGATCTCCTAAGCACAGTGGAACATTCATGCTCATGCATGTGACAGGACTCTAACACACACTGAGACGTGGGGCAGATTTGGACCCATCAGACTCCAAAGACTAAGCAACATGTCCATGCTGATGTGTTCATTTTATAATGATTTAAAGTAGATTTACTTGGTTTTGCACAGAAGAGTAAAGAATCATATATTCATTTTCTTCCATTATAAAACTAAAAAATTTTCTGGAAAATCTTAATACTGAATCAACATTTCACCTGTCCTGTTTAAAATAAAGCTAACCTTAAATTATTTTTCTGTGACTCTTCAGGTTTATGCAAACCCTTGGGCTGTTGTACACAGTTGGGCTTCCCACACATGACTTTAAAAAGGAGCTGAAATAAAACAGTCATGTGTATGTGTTGTGTGTATGGTGCCATGTATGTGTGTGCAGTTTTATTCGATCTTACTATTAAAGACCACAGAAGATATAGACAGGAAATAATGGCCACAATTTGTGAGTATGGTATTGAGTGCTACAGTGGTATTAAGCTAAGTAGGGATGTTCTCTGATTCTTCTGTTCTTTGATGTCACCATGCATGGCGGCATCCCATATAGCAGAATACCTCCAACTTGCTATGTAGCCTAGGACAACCTTGAACCCCAATCCTTCTACCCACCCATACCTTCCAAGCACTGGGGAAGACTGTATTTTTAAAATGTTTTTCTTACTCCCAATTTCACCTTTAAAAGTATTAATGGAGTTAGAATTTTACTTCATCCTGAAGCATGAAGTCCTACACTAGCTAAGGTTTCATTCCTGGGCTGGTAAGATGCATTTGTGGGTAGGGAGGGCACTTGCCACTGTGCCTGGAAACCTGAGTTCAGTCCTGAATCCCATATGGTAGAAGGAGAGGAGAGACTCATTCAGATTGTCCTCTGACCTCCACAAGCACACTATGGCCTGCACAAGTGCACATACACACCACAAAATAAACAAATGTTAGAGACAACGACATCGTGGGCTGCAGAGATGGCTGAGTTTATAAAGTACTTGCTGCATAGCCAAGAGGAGCCAAGTGGATCCTTAGTTCCCACAGAGAAGGATGGTTTGGCTGTGTGTGTGTGTGTGTGTGTGTGTGTGTGTGTTCCTAGAGTTAGGGAGGCAGAGAAAGGTATATCCCTGGCGATGGCTGATGTAACATCTACTCCAGCAAAATCTATGAGGTATAGGTTTAGTGAGAGACTGTCACAAAAAAATAAGGTGGCATTACTGAAGAAGACACCCAGTGTTGATCCCTGACCCTTACACATGCATATAAATGTATGTGCATTCACATACAATGTACACATGTAGACACACATACACAAAAGGATTTTTGTATTAATCAAGGTTCTTTAGAGGAGCTGAACAAATATGATGAATACATATTAAAAGGAGTTATCAGGCTGGCTTACATGATATGGTCTGGGTAGTCCAGCAATGGCTTCTTCAGCATGAAGAACCCAGCAGCTGCTTACTCTACAAAGCAGGATGCCTCAGCATTTCAACCTGGTGCTGGAGTCCTGCTGATCCTGGAGATCAGTGGTCTTCAGTCTTAGAAGCCTGAAGAAGCTGGACTGTGGTATCAGTGGACTGTGGCAGCTGCAGGTGCCAGCGGCTGTGACAAATAGCAAGATAAGGCATTGAGCCAAAGAGCAGAGCTGACCCTCTTTTGTCTTGTGCTACCACTGAAAGGTGCCTCCATGTTTAGTGTGGTCCTTTCCACTTCCAATAATTCAATTAAGAAAATCCTCTCAGGAGTGACCAGGGCTTGTCTCTTAGTTGATTTCTGATCCAGTCAAACAAGATTTTCACAGTCTCCCTCTGTTTAAAATGAATGAAAAATGAGGGGATAAAGAAATCAGAAATCATAAACTATTAGCCAGTGCCTTTTTTTTTTTTTTTTAAGTACTGGAGATTGTACCCAGGGTCTCACACAGGCCAAGGAAGCATCTTCTTTTGAGCTATCTACTCCAAACCCCAAAGAGCAGTTTTGAATGTACTGCTTCAGAAACCATGCCATATTTATTCCATTTCATCAATTCAGAAACACAGTTCTTCATAATAGCATCCCAGAAGTCTGGATAATTAATAGATACTGGCTACTCTTCCCATATTTCTCATCTTTGCAGCTCACTGTGCAATCGGTGGCATCGTAGATGAAGTATTCTTGCCCATAGCAACGCTGTTCCACAATACAGTCAACATGCCAACTAGGCGCAGCCTGTGTACTAAACGCTAGTGAGGCAGGTTTACCGTTCCAGCAGTTCACAACATGAACTGTTAACACTAGGGTCTGGACAGGTGGTTCAGTGGCTAAGAGCAGCAATGTGCAGGTACAGAGGACCTGGCTCCAGTTCCTAGCACCCACATGGCAGCTCACAACTGTGTTACAAGTTAACAAAATGCGTGACTCCAGATCCTGGAGACCCTACATTGTCTTTTGCCCTTTTCAGGCACCAGGAACACGCACATATATGCTGGCAAACTGTCAATACTAAATAAAAATTAAAAGATCTTTAAAAGTGTTGTTAATTAAAAAAAAACGTTTCCTCCTTTGTTTTGAGTGGCAGAGGCAAGCTATATAGCCCAACTTGGCCTTGAACCTACCAAACAGCCCAGGCTGGCATCCAATTTATGATCCTCTTGTCTCAGCTTTCTGGGTGCTGTGGTTATAGACATTTTCTACCACTTACAAAGTGGCAGGTGCTTCTCTGGGCATGCCAAAGTAGATCTCCATTAAACAAGGACAACATAATATGAACCCTGCAAATCGTTTAAATTTTTTAAATTACATTTTAAAAGTGAAACAGATTAAATTTTAAAATATAGTTTAACCCAAAATATCATTGCAGCCAACAATGCTTCTTTATCTTGTTCTTTGACCATTTCATACACGTATATGATGCATCCTGATTATTCTCTCCGTCGACCCTTTCGTATCTCCATCCTCCTTACAACTCTGTTCTCACATTCATATCTTTTGTGGCCTACTGAGTTTAACCGGGTGGGTTTCAGCAGTCCACTGAGGCCTGGTCAGCTTACAGCAGGCCCGCGACAGAAGATGGTGACTTCCCCTTTCCCACCACGTGTGTGTACCCAATAGGTCAGCAGAGAGGGCTCAAAGCGCCCGCCCCATCTTTGAGTGACTGTTGATAAGGCCAGTTGTGAACAAAAATACCAGTGATAATACAGCTGCTCTGAGGTCAAGGCGGCAATGGCTGTTGTACCGTCTTCCATTATCCTCCCTAAGGTTGTGTGCCCCTCTTCTGTGAGGGCCATTAAAGCTTTATGTTTTTAGAGCTCAGCCCTCAACATCATATTCTCCTCCGAACCTTGGGCAGTCTAGAGTCTTTACATTCCCCATTGTTCACTGTATAGAAAGGCTTCCCTGGTTAAGGCTGGGAGTAGCTTTAGTACTTGGGTGTAAGCAAAGAGATTTGGAAGGCAATCAATCAACAAACAAACTGCAAAACAAGCATTATGTTACACAATTGGTATTTTACAACTATGGCATTTTCCAGTATAGACTTGCCACATTCAAATCTCTCACGTGGCTGTACCTGACATTTTGGCTAAGGGGGGTGGGGGGACGAACTTATAAATTAGTATTGTTCCAGCTACGGTTCTCTGAGGTGGGGGGCATGTTTTATTCTTTGAAGAGGCAGACTGGGCAGTGGAGACCGCTTGGTGACAGATCACTTGCCTACCATTTTCGAAGCTGAGTTCAATCCTAGGACCTTTAAAAAAAAAAAAAAAAGTTAAAAGTGAAGGGGTTAAATAGTACTAACATACCAATACAGACTGAAAACTAAGCGTTATTTTAGTGGTCTGAAGAATCAGGAACAGGGACTAGGCCATGCTAAATATGCATTTTCATATATCTTTTGAGGATCTTTCCATAGCAACATATCGTGGAGCCTTCAGTTCTTTTCAATAGCTGAGTAACAGATGTACTATAATTTTATAAAGCTTTTTTCTTTCTTTCTTTCTTTGGTAGGGACTCTGGCCCAGGATGGCCTCCAAATGCTGTTTGGACTGATCCTCCTGCCTCCACTTCCCCAGTCCTAGGACTACAGGGCCGCACCACCACTCTGGATTCTTCCGCAACGACTGAAATCAATTCCCAGACTCCATAGACGCTGGGCAAGCACTTAAACTGAGCGATATGGGGTCCTTCAGGCAGAAACGTGGACCACTACACCGTGACCGCAGAGTCCTTCAGGCGGAAGTGCGGCCGCTAAATCGGGAGCGCGGGGTCCTTCGGGCGGAGCGCGGTCGGCTGCGTAGGGCGTGGGCCGGCTAGTGCGCATGCGCGCGGACCTTGACTCCCGCTCGCCCTGGGACTTTCTGTCTTTCGGCTGTTGGCCATGGTGAGCGCGGCAGCTCTGCGGTGAGGGCCGGGGAGGCCTGGGTGGCGGCGGGGCAGCGCTCGGGTCTGCAAGGCTAGCAGTCTCCTGAGGCCTCGGCTGGCCGGGAGCGCCCAGCAGTGGCCTTCCTCTCGCCTCCTGAGGCCCTGTACGGACGGATTCTTGAGCGATTGCTCAGCGCTTTCTGCAGTTCCCGAGGCGTGATTGGGCCGCTTGATTTTTTTTTTTTTTCTTTAACCCCCGTCCGTCTCTCTCTAAATCAGGGACTCGGGCGAGAGGAGGAAAACAGGCATGCCCAAGTCGCTGATGTTTAAGGATATTGTTTCAAAGTTAAAAATTTGAACGGGATGGAAGAAAGTCGGCCTTTGCCCACGCCTTCGATCTTGTCACTCCCTAGGCAGAAGCAGGCAGATCTCTTGAGAGCAGCCTGGGTTACACTGGCAGTTCCAGGCCAGACTGGGCTTTATAACTGAGACTCTGAATCTAAAATTTAGTAAATTACAGTACAATGCTTATTTTGATAATAATAGCTTTTACCCACTTACGGGGTGATTGGTACGGTCGTAGATATGAAGGTGGGATTTGGAGCATATGGGGACTGATTACTTGGTAATGGGAATAATATTAGAACTGTAGGAGGTGCTCAGAAATCTCAACTTATTTAGCAAAAATGTGTCCATTGCAGTCGTCATAGGTGAGTGATGACAAAGGTGATTTCAGGTCAATGATGAACCGGCATGTATTCTGAATCTAAAGTTGATTATTAACCACTTTAGCTCTAGAATTACTCTGAGACCTGAAAAAAATACCGGGATCTGGTCATATAGATTTCTCATGTGTATATTGGCAGGCAGGCCACGTAAGTAACTGGTCTTTGCTTCACTTCTGCAAGGGCACACCACAGAAGGACGTGACTATCAAGGCTGATGCTCCTGGCACCCTGCTGCTGGAGAAACATGCTGACTATATTGCCTCCTACGGGTCAAAGAAAGATGACTATGTGCGTATGGCTGTCCAAGACAACGGGCTAAGTAGATTCTAACTTCGGGGGCTTAGGGTGCCCTTTGAAGTTCATTGTGATAGGCGTACCTTGTGTGTCAGAGGTTCATAAAGGGCTAAGCCTGAAGGGTTTTTGCTCCTTTCTCGCTGGGGTATAACCTTGAAGGTCAGTGATGTGTTGGCATGTATTATCTGAGTTTGCTGATGTGTAACACTTTAGCTCTAGAATTACGCTGAGACCTTGAAAAGGTTTTACCTAAACGTGATGTACCTGATGAAATTCTGCCAGGAAGGTACTAAGTTGGGGGCAAGTAGGCTCTCTTTGAGTATGGGAAGACCCTCCCCAAAGAGGGATCACTGTAAATTCTTTGCATGTCCCAGCTGCCTTTCTGGGTTTTAGAACATGTGATATTGGGAGACACTTGGCATTTTCTCTACTTTTATAACTTTAGACTCTCCTTAGTTTAGGGGGAGCCATAATTTTGCTGTTATCAGATCTGTTTCCCAATGGACTTAGGAAGCCTGTGGTATTCAGAACCTACCCCCTTCTCCCAGAACTTTCTGAGGTTAACAACCACTGCTCTAAAAGCCAAAAAAAATAAGGTGGGTGGGAGTTCAGCTTGACATTTAAGAAACTTCTCCCAGGAATACTGCATGTCTGAGTACTTGAGAATGAGCGGCATCTATTGGGGCCTGACAGTGATGGACCTCATGGGACAGCTTCATCGCATGGACAGAGAAGAAATACTGGTGTTCATCAAGTCGTGCCAGCATGAGTGTGGGGGGGTGAGTGCCAGCATTGGGCACGATCCCCATCTGCTGTACACACTCAGTGCTGTCCAGGTAAATGTTTGGGGGGTCACTGTGCTCTTGCCCAGATCCAAAAGAGACAGTCTTTGGGAGTGAAGCCTATCCTACAGGGTCAATGATGTCATGGCATGTATTAGCTGATGCTAACAGGATGAGTGTTCTCATGATACTGAGACCTTGGAGGGTAGTGAGGAGCCAGAGGATGTAAATCCTGCCTCTGTTAGACTGTCAAGGGTTCATGTAGTAGAATTACATTATGTTCTGATTACTAATTCAAGTGTTAACAAACTGTGCCTTTGAGTGTAGTCAGGTGAAAGGTCATAATTGGTGGCATTGAGCAGATCTAGAACAACTCTTCGCTGCCCACCTGTCTTTCAGATTCTTACTCTGTACGATAGTATCCATGTTATCGATGTAGACAAAGTTGTGGCGTATGTACAAAGTCTACAGAAGGAAGATGGTTCATTTGCTGGAGACATTTGGGGTAAGGCCAGTTTTAGTCAGCTACTCCTTACTCAGAACATCTTTGTCTTGGTAGTAATGAGAAGATCTCAAGTTGTTCCATCTTTTCAGGTCCCACTAAGCAGTTGGTCTAACTGGAATAAATGGCCTGCTGGAAGCCCCAGCATGCCCTGTGCTGGTTTGTCAGCACACCACACTCTAAAAGATAAGGTAGGTTCAATTTTTATCCCCAATATTTAGCTTTGAAGGTCTGACCTCCCTGAGGAGAGGACATCTTTAAAATATCTCTTAAAAGACGGAAATTTTTTTTCATTTGATTGATGTAGATAATCTATTTTGGGGTGGAACAAAATGCAGGCCTAAGACCAGCTGCTTTGTGGGATGTGAACCTTTTTATAAAGTAGGGAGCTTGATTGCATTCTAAGTTATTAACTAGAATCCTTGCCATATAATCCATGTGTAGTTTCCCTGTGTTTGTGGGCTCCCTGTAAGCTACTAAGAAAGGCTCCTTCCTGCTTTATAATTTTCTAGCTGCTTTCCTTGGATGTTTGGGAGGGCTGCCTCCTGGCTGTAAAGCTAGCCTGGGCTGTGGGAAATTTAATGTGTACTGGGGTTTTGTTCTTAGGTCAGTTGTAGCATTTACATGACTGCCTTTGCTTTTTTTGTCTTTTAGGAGAAATTGATACAAGATTCTCATTTTGTGCAGTGGCAACTTTGGCTCTATTGGTAAGCTTTGAATGTTATGTTGAAGGGCCTGATTAAACATTTGTGAGTGCTGTAGGTAGTTGTAATAGTTTTATTTCCTTTTATAGGGCAAGCTTGATGCTATTAATGTGGAAAAGGCGATTGAGTTTGTTTTGTCCTGTATGAACTTTGATGGTGGATTTGGGTGCAGGCCAGGCTCTGAATCTCATGCTGGACAGGTAATTTTGCAATTAAAGTTCAGTAAAATTTAGAGGGGATAGCTGCTATGGAAGAAGTTTTACAGTTTTTTGTTGTGAATGGCCACACCGTAGTAGCTGAGGAAGGAAAATGGGTTTTGTATACACTGCTATGTACAGAGCTTCAGTCCTCATAAGTAATGATCACTGGCGTTTATATGGGGTGTACATTCTGTACTGTTACTATGTAGTCCAGGCTGCCCTTAATTACGTGTGCTGGGATGGCAGGCATGAATCTCTAGGTGTATGCAAGTAAACACATTTATGCTTGTCCTAGAGAACACTAAGTTGTAAATGAATAGATTCTAAGCTACAAGATGGAGTTTTCATAATTCTGGTGGTATTTGTCACTATTGAATTACACCTGTGTACTTTATGTCTGTAATTTTAGATCTATTGTTGCACAGGATTCCTGGCGATAACTAGTCAGTTGCATCAAGTGAACTCTGACTTACTTGGTTGGTGGCTTTGTGAACGACAGTTGCCCTCAGGTGGACTCAATGGAAGACCTGAGAAGGTATTGTAGTGGTTCTTTATGCTACACCCTTGGGTGTCTGGTACTTCGCTTAAAACTGAGCTGTTTTTCTTGTGCAGTCTTAAGATATCTTAGGAGAGAACTTAGAATTCTCATTGACCATGGGAAATGTGGGTGGTATCTTTCTAGCATTTAAGTGATGCATAGAAAGAGATCTTTTTGAGTTTGAAGCCAGCCTGGTCTCCTTAGTGAGACCAGGGAAAGTAAATGTGCCTGTGGTCATCCTTGGAGCTCAGTGAATGTAGATTGTTCAGACCAAAGGGGGAATGTAGGGTCTGCGGCTTTTGAATTCTCAGCAGGTGAGTTGAAATGGTCTGCCTAGAAGCTCTTCTCTCCTGGGTTTCACCAATAACAGCTGAGGACCAGTAGGATGTTGTTTATTGTAGATGAGTAAGTGTATCTTTGCTGACTATACTGAAGTGGTATGAGTGCCAATGTGGGAGATGGTCTTTTTCATTGTTACCATGTGTACATGGCTGAAGTGAGCCTAAAATGTAGCAGTTTGCTGCCTCTGTCTATATTGTGTCCACTATACCCTGACACACTTTTTGCTTCCTTACTGTTGTGACATGAGATTAGACATTAAAATTTTCCATCAAATCTAATGAAATAGAGCAGTAAATCGTGCCAATGTCCTCCCTGATTTCTACACCTCCCCCCCCCCTTTCTAGTTACCAGATGTGTGCTATTCCTGGTGGGTTTTGGCCTCCCTAAAGATAATTGGGAGACTTCATTGGATTGACAGAGAAAAGCTTCGGAGTTTCATCTTAGCTTGTCAAGATGAAGAGACTGGAGGATTTGCAGACAGGCCAGGAGACATGGCAAGTACAGTTATTTCTGTGGTTTTGCAAATTTTCACTGTTGGCTGACATTCGTGCTTAACCCAGGCATTTTCCATGTGGTGGGAATAGTGCCTTGTTAGTAATAGTCCAAAGGTTGCTCTGAACCTTTTTATAAAAAAGGCTAGAGTGTATAGAGGTTTCTCACAATACTACTGTTAGTGAGGTTGGACAGGTGTTTTGGATTTCTATCTTAACTGTTAATTAATTTCCTGCAGGTGGATCCTTTTCACACCTTGTTTGGCATTGCTGGACTGTCACTTCTGGGAGAAGAGCAGATCAAACCTGTTAGCCCTGTGTTCTGCATGCCTGAAGAAGTGCTTGAGAGGGTGAATGTGCAGCCTGAACTAGTGAGCTAGAGTCATATGGGAAGATGTCCAAATGTGTTTGAACTTTATCAAACCTAAAAGTGACTTAATATTTTATATGTTAATGATAAGTTATACAAGTATTGTAAAATGTTGTATTTAGATGTTCTGTGGTGTTCTTAGTACAGTTTTTGTCTATATTTGAAGTTTGTTTTTGATGTCTCTAACAACAAACTTGGAGCTGTTACTGATCCCTTCCTCTGTCCTGTTGACCTTTAACAATGATGGGAAATGATTTAAGTGAGGAAAACTCATGATTTAAATAAAAGATACATGAAAGTGGAGTGGCTGTCCAGCTGTGCATTCCCCTTGGAGACAAGATTCAAGAGGATTTCCCTGGAGGCCGCAAGCCCTAAACAACTGAGGAAAGGTGCAGACTGGGGCCAGGTAGAGCCGAATCACGAGTCACCGGAATCCTGGAAGTCACTCAGTGGATGGGTTTGCTTGAGATGGGTTTAGGTGGGATTGTTTGAGTCTGTTAGGGTCTCGCCTGAGGGTTTGAATGTGGGTTGGCTTCAGACTGGGTGAATAGTAATAGTAAATTTACACTGTTGGTGTTAATTTGTAATTTGAACTTACTTTTTTATGTAGTTGCTTGTGGGTAAGAATTCTTTTCCTATTCCTGAGGAAACCTTAACATGCAAAGGGAGGAAACAACGCGCAATATTTAAGATAACTCTCACATTGCACTAGAATTCCGTATCACAAAGTGCTACGATTCTGGGCACCTGCCTCCATACCATGCAAGCAGTTGGTGTGTCCCCAGATAAGCATATCTGATCTTTCTACAGGTTAGTATCAAAGGCTGTAAAAACAAATCTCTTAAATCCTTACTAAGAACAATGGCGTGAGCATTTCAGCCACAGATACTGAGACACCACACACCTGGTATAGCTGGCATGCTTTAGTGCTCTTTGAAGAGGTACCATGACCAACAAAGCGCTTAGCAGGGGCTTGCTTACATACAGTTTCAGAGGTGTGCTCCAACAAGCAGTGACCCACCCTAAGCATTCAGACCTGAGTGTGGGGTCATTTTTACTCAAACTAGCACAGGACATGAATGTCCAAATACATGGAGAACACTTATCCCCAGTTCTGCCACCTGGAAGTAAATATATTTTAAGGATTGTAAAGAGCTACAAGACTGTATGTTTCTACCCTGAGTATGAAAGTACAATTCTAAAGTAGGATGGTTCTAGCTGCTGGTTTTCACTCCATGCTATCTCACCGGCTGGTATGTGCCGTGTATGCAGCTGTGAGCACAGACTCACAGCTAGGCACTTCAGGGCTAAGTGTATTGGGGATGTAACTAGGACATGTTAAAGTATTGCAAGACGCGGGGGTCAGTGCCCCGCGAGGTCCCTCCCTCCTTCAAAATGAGCTGAGACAGCTGACATTCCAAGTTGTTGGTGCTCCTTGATTCCTAAGGAGTGAGAAGGCTTACACAGGCTCCCGAATGACCGGAACAAAACTGCTCATCCCTAGGGTCAAATGTGTGAAACTTTAGCGGCCTGGGCCTTCGCATTGTCCGCAGCCGTGTCCGTGCGCCGTAAGGGCACTGCGCCTGCGCAGGGCCTCCCTCCTGCTCCGTGAACACACTGCGCCTGCGCAGGGCCTCCGGCCGTTCCGCTGCCTTGCCTTAGTGTGGTGGAAGCCGCCCTTGCGCGCAGTCAGCACAGCCTGAGGGATGCTGAGGCAGGAAGCCATGTCCGTCTCCAGTTCGCCTTCGGGGAGGGAGGCCCAACGTGGGCCCTGGGCCTCTGCGTCCAGGCCCAGCACGGAGGGCGTTGCTGCAGACAGGAGCAGCAGCAGCAGCCTCGCGCGGCCCACACCAGGCAAGGCGCCTGTGACAGTCCATGGTGGGAGTGGTTCGTGCCATTAATTCGAACACTGGCCACTACAGCTCAAGGCTAGCCTGGGCTACAGAACGAGCAGGTCTCACAATTTCAAACAAAACAGGCGGGAAAGCCTTGACTCTTCACAACAGTATCATTACGACACTGAACGGAAGGGTCCCCTCCCCTCCCCCGCTCTGCTAATATTCCTATGTAAAGCTGAAACGTGAGTTAACACAGGCCCTCTATGGCCCAGACTGCCCTGAAATTCATTGCTAGGAAATCCTGCCTGCCTTTAACTTTTCTCCTTACAATTTTGTTTCACATTTTCCCCGCTCTGTGAGTATGAGTGTGGGTCAGCATTCAAGGTATGGGTGTGGAGTTCCAAGGATGACTTTCTGGGAACAGTTCCCTCCAGAACTGGAGAATTAAGTCTCAGGTAGCCATCGCGTCGTCTCACTGGCCCCCCACTTCTTAAAGTATGTGGTGAATGGGAGATTGCGTTGCGTTTTCTGATAGTGGAGGTCTGCTAGCTTTGGCTAGCAGATTTTAGTCTTCAGGTTCTAGAACGGAATGAAGATAGGTTGAAGTGAACACCCCATCTAATTCAGATGCTTACCATATTAAGTCCTGGGGCCGGAGAGAGACGCCTCATTGGTTAAGGGCGCTAGCTGCTTTTTCGAGGTCCAGTTTCAATTCCCAGCACCCAATGGGGGGCTCACAACTGTCTGTAACTGACGCCACAAGATCTGATGCCCCCTTCTGGCCTCTGGTGTACAAGTCGGCAAAACACCCACATACTTAAAGGGGTAAAAAAAAGTCCTTCAGGATGAGTTCAACTCATTCAAAGGATAAAGACAGAATCGATTGACCCGATTTTATGAGTGAAGAAATATTTCAATTGTTGAAGTCTTCTATGTTTGTTATTAGATAAAAAGTGGTTGAGAAAAACAGGCTTGAGAGTCATGAGTATGCCCTATCTGTCTGACATTCCGAATGGGGACCCAGCAGAGACCTGAGCCACTTCGAATGTATCTGTCTGTGTGTCATGTGTGTTTGTGTGCATGCATGTTTGAGTGTGTGGAAGAGCCTGAAAAGGCCCCAGGTTGACGTTAGTTTGCCTGACGTTAGTTAGTCAGGCTCACTGAGGTAAGGTCTTTCAGTTGATTCCTGAGTTCACTGACATGGCTAATCTAGCCAGGCAGTTTGCTCCTAAACTCTAAGAACTAGAGTTACAGAGGGATGGCCATACCCATCTGCCATTTATGTACATTCTGGGAGTCAGAACTCTGGTGTGTGTACACCAAGTGTGTCACCTCTGACCATCTTTCCAGCCTCAGAAACGTTTTAAAAACTTTTTTTTTTTTTTTAAATGTGGGGTGCACCTGTGATCTCAGTGTTCTGTATTTAAGAGGCCAAGGCCAGGAGGTTTTGAGGCCAAACTGGGCCACAGATAAAGACCCTGTAAAAAAGAGTACTATCTGATGCATTTATAAAATTTCCAGAGAGAAGTAAAGTGGGTGAATAAAAAGCTCAACTTGGCTGGTAATACAGTGAACACTGGGGAAAAGAGTTTACCCTTTGATATTTAGAAGTTCTAGGAAGGGATATAAAAGTTTATGTCCAAGAAGTAGCAAGATACAGTGACATTCTTTATTTGTTTCTACTTTACTGAGTTATTTACTTTTAGTGTATGTTCTCTGTGTGTAGCCCAGGAGCCTGGTCTCACCTCAGGCCCTTGAAGTTGTGATCCTTCTTCAGACCCTCAGCCCACAAACTGCACACAGGGGCAGATATTACCCCGATGGTACATGGTCTTGAATGTTTAGCATGGGTGTGTGCTGTTTTCCAGATGGAGACAAGGACTCCTCCTTTACTGCTCTCTGCCTTATCCTTTTGAGGCAGACTGTGGCAGGCGAGACCTGAGCCCTGCTTGTTAGCTGGGTAACAGCTGGGATCTGAGCTCGGTGCATGGCAGGCCTGGCTTGCTGCATGTGCTCTTAAGCACTGAGCCTTATCTCCGACCTCTAATTTCTGCACTTTTCTTTGAGATTGGTCTCTGCATGCAGCCCTTACTGACCTGGTGCTGGCTATGTCAACCAGCCTGGCGTTAAGCTCACTGAGTTTATTTTGTTTTTGTTGTTTTGGGGCGTTTGTTTTGTTTTTCCAAGACAGTTTATTCTGTAGCCCTGGCTGTCTTGGAACTCAGAGAGTTGCCTTATTTCTACCTCCCACATGCTGGGATTAATAGTATGAGCAACTGAGTCCAGATACTTTTGATTGAATTTTTAAAGGGCTTAAAATATTTATTTGTTTGTTAATAAATAAACATTTATTGAAAATATAAACATTATATATTTGTGGTTTTCTGAGACGGGGGGGGGGGGGGGTGTTCTGTGTAGCCTTGGCTGTCCTGGACTCACTTTGTAGACCAGGCTGGCCTCAAACTCACAGAGGACCGCTTGCCTCTTCCTTATGCCCCACTGCACCTGGCTTGAAAAACTTTAAAAGACAATGTTATTTTTGCCATATGGAATTACATGACGTTCAAATTTCAATATGTAGAAATTATTTTGAAAAAGATATAGCCATGTTTGTTTCACTTAATATAGTACCTAGGCTGCACCTCTACTCTACTGCCAGAGTTGAATATGTAACAGTGACCATGCGGTACACAAAGCCTCAGACATTTGCCCTCTGCTCCATCCCTGGCAATCTTAACAGCCATGCTGTGTGGTGTGGGAGGCGAGGCAAGGCTATAAATGAAAATCTGAAAGTTGTCAGGAAATGGATGTCAGTAGAAAACAAGAGGACAGATGAGATGCCTAGAGAAAACAAAATGTTGATTTAGTAGTGAGATTTTAAAAGTATGGAGGCCAACAGTTAACAGGAAGGCAGCAGACAGGGACGTGGTACAGAAAGTTATACAGGCGCAGGCGGAGAGCAAAGACTCGTGTGTGGAAGTCAAAGGGTGCAGAAGAGCCTGGTTTTCTCATTTGCTTGTTTGTCTCATTTGCTTGTTTGGAACTTCTTTCTGTGTTATCAGACACTGCTAGACTATGTACACTGTGAAATGTTCTGACATGACTGTAAAATAGGTAACATGCTGCTAAGCAAGTGTCTGAAAAGTACTGAAACCAAGTGAGTCTGAACCAACTTTATAATACTGCACAGGGGAGACATTCAGGTGAGGAAGCTAATGAAGGAAAAGACACTTAATTATAAACTGTTCCTCGTGACTGAAAGGAGACTTCTGATTTTAGTTAAAGTAGTCTTGAGGAAATCATACTCAAGAGCTATATCAGAATATTTCTTAATTTGTTTTCAAATCCCATGTAGCTCAGGCAGGCTGACCTCAGCTCACTCTGGCTGAGGATAACCTTGAGCTCCTGAAATCCTTTCCTCCACCTCTCAAGTGCTGAAAGTACAGGTATGTGTCAGCAGGCTTG